TGCGACACCGTCAAAATATGTGGTCGTGCCTTCATATTACCAGAAATTGGCTGCATAAGTAACGTTGATGCTCATCTTTGTGAAATGCGAAGAAAGGCGCTTTGCCTTTTTCAATATTTCGCACGAAAGCAGTTTCTTTTCTTCCTTTAAAATGCTCGCTCGCTGTCCTCGTTTATTGATTTAGGTATATCCCTTGTGTATATTGGGTTTATGGACGTTCCCAGGTTATAAAGATGTGGTGGATTGGATTTTTGGTCAAATGAAAAAATATACGCTGTCTGAAGTCAATTTAAGCTTGCATATAAGCATACTTAGGTACTTAGGCTGAGAAGAAAATATTATAAATGACCATCAAAAATAGCCCAAAAACCATTGCGTAGTCAAAAGTATCGGTAAAAAGTAAAATGTAGACAAAACTTACTAATTAGTCCATTAAATTTTATTGAAAAATATAGATATAATACCCTTCGCAAATAAAAACAAGAAAAAACGAAGCTCAAATACTCTTCACATACATATAAAGAAGTCTCCATACAAGAACCTGATTTTGATCGGTCAGTTTGTATGGCAGATGCATATATGTTAAAGTAATCCAATCTGAACTATTTCTTAAGAGATCACACCATTGCTTAAATAATAATCCATGCCAAATTTGTTGAAAATATCTCGTTAAATGAAAAGGCTTTGCCTACAAGCATGGTATATACAGCAGTATTCCGAAATAACGAACACATTAATTGTCACGCCAGTTCGTTTTATTGAATTTTTCGTTAATTCGAGTAGTTGCGAGGTATGTTTCTTAACTAAAATGAGTAAACTATCCGATGATTTCAGTTGAATAATTTATTTTCTTTAATTATTTGTTAAAAAAGAAAAAACACAAAAAAGTAACAATTCACAAAGCATATATATGCATCTTACCTTAAAGGAAGTAATGTGTTTAAAAATTAAATTCAAGAGATCAAAATATTTGTATATCTGTAAAAAAAATTTCTATAGCTTTTTAGAAAGCGTCGTTTGCTTCATTCGCTTTAATAGCTTCTTTCTGAAGTTCAGGAAGTCAATACAAAAAGTTTCATGAAAACCTAATTGTTATGCTTTGCTAACTGGTTATATTGTTCGAAATATTCCTGCATTTCCTTATTTAATTTTTGGGCTTATATTTTCAATTTCTTACCTGATCATCATCATCTTATCGGAATCCTGTATGAAGTTTTGTCACTCATCCATTCAAATCGCTGACTGAGAATTAAAACTAAAAATGTCTCCATTATTCTATTCCTCATTGCCAAAGTATCGTCATCTTGCCTTAAGAATGACGAAATAGAAAGATCATCCTTGTCATCAAAATTACCTTTTTCTCTTTAAGTATCTTATTCCAGCATTTACTAAAAGTTGCTTCAGAGATAGGCTTCCATCCCAAAGATAATGCTGCCACAGCATCATAAAGCGTAAATATATATTCCTCCTTATTTGCAAAAAGACTGGACGAAATGTATAATTGCATTTTGATCCTTTGGTTTTATTAGTGGAGTATTTGGAGCCCATATTTTGGTACCCATATTTTGAAACTAACGATGTATGCTTTTAAACTGAAATTGTTACAAAATTCCGACCTTTTTGTTTTTTGTTGCTGATTAAAAATTTAAGTTTTTCTTTCAAGAAAATTTTTTCTTGCACTCAATTTTCGTAAAAAACATTAATATATGTAGTAACTGTTTCTTTTGAATTTCTTTGATGTTTCGTTCTCAGCATGACAAATCCCCAATGATCGATATTTAAGGTACTCAACTTAAAAAATTTGTTTGTTCGTTAGAAGCGGTTTTCGTTAAAGCAAATACTCATTATTTTGTATAACTTCTGTATACTTGTATATATTATAAATGATCAGCGTGACGAACTAAGTGGATTCAGCCTTGCCTGTCTGTCTGTTCGTATATACGCGAACAAGTTCCTCAGTGTTTCAGATATGGCCCTGAAATTTTGCACACATCCCTTTCTCCCGCTATCGGACGACTACAGCATATAGCTGCCATACAAACAGAACGATCGAAATCATTGTATGAAAACTGTTTTATTTGACAAGATATCTTCACGAAATTTTGCATGAATTATAATATTATGTAACCCAAGGCAATGCTCCAATATCCGAACAAATTGTTCAGATCAGACCATTGTAGCATATCGTTATACAAAGCGACTGATCAAAATTATGATAAAAATATTTTTATAGCCTTATAGCCAAACTTAACGTTTTTTATTCTTTTTTGTTTTTTTTTTTACTTTGAATTTCCTTGCATATTGCATTTATTACAATTGAATTATATATTGTATGTAGAAATATTGTATAATATAGAATATTTTAAAATATATCTAAATATCATCTTCCAGTCAAGGCGTGCTATAAAGACTTAATATACTTTTCTGTATAACTTTTCTGGTTTTCAAATTCAGTTTATATACGATTCTTCGAAGCGTCTACGTTTAATGGAGTAAATATTTTCGAAGCTCCTGGGGACGTGTACAGTGCATGTGTAAATATATTTTACCAGAAAGCATAGTTACAAGTGTGGCTTTACATAGAATGTATTTCATACATATGTACGTATGTATATAAACAAGTAGCATGTGCGTGCCAACCTCAGCTTGTTTGCTATTTACTAATTTGATATGAAGTCAACTAACGTCCCAGCTGTCACACAGCCAATCAACGTGGTAGACAACGTTTGTGCTCTCAAACGGCACCTGGGGACGAATTCTCCTGACGGTCGTGCGTTTTCGCTTGTAAAATATTTGAGCTGCCTGTTTATTAACACCAAATAAGGCGTAGGCGTTCGTTTAAAGTTACCAGATATGCGAAGAGCTAGCAAGGTTGGTTTAAGGAATTGTAAGCTCTGCTTGGTATGGTCGAAATTAGATTAGATTATTGGTGTTTATTTGAAAGTATGTATGTATTTGATAAGTTCGAAGTTCCCGCGTTAAAGGGGTTACATGGGTTTCGTCGGTTAAAAAAAAATGCCTATTTTCAATAATTTTTATCTATATATAAAATTGGTAACTTAATTCATACTTTTTTCTGTTTTATAGATACACATTTAAAGAATAATTTCTGGGATTTTCAAAAAAAGATTAAAACTCCGCCATTGTAACCTCATTTACGGTGACCCCTCGAAAAAAAGGGGGGGAAATCCTGACAGTATCATCTAAAATGACAAAAAAAAATATGTCTTTTAGTTAAGACCATAAACTAGTGCTTGAACGGAGGAAAAAAAAGTTAAAATTGGAATTTGGCAGACCTTTTTCCAACACAATGAAAATTAAAAAAAAAAAATCCTCCGAAGCAAGACCTTGTAAATTATATCTCAAAGACATCTGTAAAATTTCATTAAGATCGGTTGAGTAGTTCGCGAGAAATCTTGACAACCGACTTTGAAAACACAGTTCCGAGAAAAACGCGTTTGAAGTTACAAACTGCAGTTTAAATTATAACAAAATTTTAATAAAGTACAATAAGCATGATTGCCATATATACATACATATATGTAAATATATATGTAAATATATTGTATGTATATATAATATATATACAAACAAGGTGTCAAACTTGCTCAGCTTTTAGTTGACCTCACCTTTTCTTCGTCCACGCTGTATTTAGTCAAACATAAATCTTCTCTAAGTATTAACCATATTTCACC